GAGAGAGAGAGAGAGAGAGAGAGAGAGAGAGAATATTAAGCAGGCTCCACGCCTGCTCAAGTTGACTTGAGGTTCGATCCCACAACTCTGGGATCATGACCTGAGCCAAAATCAAGAGTCGGACCATCAACCAACTGAACCACCCATTTCAGGCTGTCTTAAAAGACTTTTTATGCTGATATAAACCGCAAATAAATTAGTTATTATTCAACTGATTTATACTTTTCTTTTGACTTTGTGATCATCACCCTGTGCGTGATGCTTGTTCTCATCCACTTTCAGTGGCCCAACCTGAGTTTTGCTAATAGTTGTAACCGGGTTTTTCTTCCCCAAAGGTAGTATGGATCCTACATCGCTTTTCTGACTGACCTAAGAGGAAAAAGAGAAGCTAGAATCAACGCATTTCTTTGAGTCAAGGCCAACTCCTCATGCAAGTACTTTCCTTTCCCTTGGATGAGGACAGTGGTGAGGAGAGAAATGGAACTAAAAATCAGGTCCTTATTTTCCTACCCAGTGATTTTTGGTCCAGTGTGGGGATAACGACATGGATACTACTGGCTAATGAAAAGACCTTCAAATCTCCGTCAGTATAATCTCTCCTTTTCTCTGAAATGTTTCCTGGTCAGCGCCTGCCATGTCCCTGATATCTCTGAGCTGATACTGACCCTGAGTGCGTTTTCTTTCATCCTGAGTTAGCTGGGAACTCGATCAACTTTCAGCAAAGTAACTGGATGGGAACCAGGCTAGAATTCTGGCTCGCAAGGAGATGGTGACATCCACATTTCAGAAGTCTCGTGGCGTTTAAAGTGGGCTCCACTGTTCCCGCTGCCCATCCTCCTCCCCTTCGCTCTCCCTTCCCCACCAGGAGAGAGGCCCACACTGCCCCCAGATCTGAGGCCCGGAGGCCCATTTTGGTGGCACGAGGACACTGGAATTACTAGTCAACGTTTTGCTCCCTGCTTTTGCAAAGACCTAGTTCTCCCTGAAACTTGTAGATAAAGAAATCCACTTTCAAACCATAATGATTTAATGACTCTTCCCTTCCAGTAGTTTTCAGTTTCCGAACAAGCGTGTTATGGGAAATATCAGGCCTTCGCCGTTAACGTTTCAAGCCAAAGGCCCAGCCTCAGATTCCTCAGATAAAGAACTGTCAGAGGAACAAGACTCTCCTCACGGATCTTGGAGGCACTCTCAAGGATTTTACTGATGACGACTTCTGTAGCCGTGGTTTCCCAAACCGATGGCAGATAAGCCTGCTGTTAGTAATTGCACGTACGGAACTGAGACAAATGTTTTTTTAAACATATGTAATTATCTACAAAAAAAAAAAATAGATTGGCAGTTCTTTGAGGCAGCTGATACAGGAAGAGAACATTCTAAGAGTTTCATTTCATCTCCCGTGGGGCCACCTGTCACATTTTTATTGGCTTGCAATGGAGCCCAGGCATAGAAATTCTACCTAGAAAATATTTTTAAGTAAAATATGCTCTATTCACGCTTTGTACATACAATTCCTGTGCCTAGGCTCCACTGAAAGCCAATCAATCAATCAATCAGTGGTTGAGCAATTATGTTTCATCACTTAACAAACATTGTTGAATAAATTAATGCCAGAGCATTCTCCTCTTCCGCAGAGAGGTCAACAGAAGTGGGTCCCTACATATCAAGCGTGGAGGTTGAACCAGGAGAGAGAAGTGGTTTGCCTTTCTGTGAGTTTTGTTCCAGAGCTCACCTAGCTTCTTCCTAGAGAGTGGAGTTGGAACATTCCCCAATAACCCAAGCCTACAAATGGCTTTCCTGTTCTAACTTCCCCATGGCAGATACTGAGGGGCCAGCCCTTGGTCACCATTACACATGGTCAGACTTTTCTCCTGTTTTGCCTGGGGGTCGTCCCTTCCGTGTAAGTTCCTAGAAGGCACATGTTTAGCAGACGCTTCTTTTATTTTCTCCACAAAGCCTGGAACTGGGTGTAGGGCCGCGGTGGCCAGTGCTTGGGACTAGAAGTTCAAACAAGCAGCTGAGAAACGAGGCAGGGACTTGCCGCACCTCGAGAACGGAGACCATCCCTCCGGTCCCTCCGTTCACCGGCCACCCCCACCTCGCATCTATCGCAGGGCCCACCACCCGCCTCCTGGGGGCTCCCAGGTGTATCCATCTCTCCATTTCCGCCGGGCCGGCTCCTCCCCGCTGTGATCCCCATGGGGGGAGGCTGTGTGTTGCTGTGCTTCGCACAGAGTCAGAATCAAAGAAACCCCAGTGTGAGATCAACCCCCCAAAATGGAAAAGTGATCCTAATCACTGTGCACATTCAAAGAAATAACGTAAGCAGCCGCTGGGTGTTTACAATCAAGCCTTGCATAAATGCAAATTACGCCATCTGTACGTAGACTCCACTCACCGGGATCAAACCCTCCGCCTGCGGCTTTGGGAGCCTGGAGACTCAGACTGGGGAGCTGTGTCTCACCTGTCGGGGAAGGGAGAAGAGTAATCCAGGTGTTGTGGTGGGGATTAAACGAGGTCGCGCTTCGCTGACAGTTTGGCACGAAACCACAAGCAATTTTTAAAAACACAACACAACAAAGAGATTCACTACCGAAGGCTCTTGGGAGTTTGTTAGATTAACATTTCCCAAGGAGGGCCCCAGCTGCGGGGCGGCGAGCCTCGGTTCAACAACAGACCACCAGAGAAATTAAAACGGAGGAGTTTACTACCGAGGGCCCCGGAGGAGCCCCACAGCCCGCCTAGGGGCGCCACGCTGAGGTCAAGGCCAGGTGCAGGCAGAGGGAGCGGCGGGACGGACGCACAGCGCACGCCTCTGTTGGGCTGTGCGGGTGCAGTGCTTCCAATAAGGCCTGAGTGGTCAACCCAAACAAAAAAGCGGGGTTTGGGTCGGCTTCACCCGGGTCTCACCTGAGGGGTGCACGAGGGAAGGTTCGGGGAGGCAGGAGGGACGCAAGGGCTGGAGGGGGAGTCCAATGGGATCTTACCTTCGCCCGCGACGGCCAGCGCAGGCGCTCACGCGCTCACCGGAGGGCTGGCGTCTGTCCAAGGGCCTGCCGACGCCACAGGGTGGATGCCGTCGCAACAACGTTGTAGAGGAGCTTAGCTAAACTCCCCAGAGCTCTCCAACCTCCCAAAGCCAAAAACAAAAGATAAATCACTCTCTGGGATAGTTCGCCCAGGAAGTATAAAAATCCTCCTTAACGTTCTCACCGGCTCCCCAGTGAATCAAATCACAATAGCTGTGCACAAGTGTCGGCTACCTCCCTGCAAATCACAGTCATGCCCCAGGCCCGCTCCCGCTCCTTCCCATTTCTCAGTCTCCCCTGCCCGCTCTCGGCCTTTTCCAAAGTGCACACAATCAGGCTGATGAGGCGCCTCCCAGGCCTCCCCCTCCCCTACAAACAAGGCGGCAGCTTGGTGGCCAAATGGAAATCTGCCACAGCGGGGAAAAGATGGCCCCCTGCCCCCACTCCCCGGAGCTGCCCCCACCCTTCGCTTGGACTAGTGTGCTGTTCCCTCCTCTCTGCCACCCTCATTATGCATAAGTCAGGCCTGGTGATAGTGCCCCTTGGCTCTCGGATGTGCTTTTTCATTCTTTTCTTAACCTACGTTTCAGTTTGGATCATTTTCCTCCCCCTCCCCCTCCTTCTACTCCATGTTTTGAGAGTGAGAGTGCATGAGGGGGAGAGAGATGGGGGGAGAAAGAAAGAGAGGGAGAAGGGAAGAGAGAGAGAGAGAGAGAGAGAGAGAGAGAGAGAGAGAGAGA